GTCTTCGATGGTATTCGGTCACCGAGCTCAGTGGGTTGATCTGCGAACTTTGTGTGAGAGAGATGCAGGTGAACAAGTCGAAGGTGCTCGGATCAAACTCAAAATTCAATCCCACTTCTTGCGTGAACTGTTGCGCGAACTGGAATGCGGACACGAACGGTGTTGTGAGATCAACCGAAGGGAGGAAGCTGTATACGCGACTTTTCGCGGAATGCGTGGTAGCAATCCCTGATCTTCAAAACCTCATGGTGGACGTCAACAATGTTCAGGCCATGACCACGATTATTCGGGAACTCGCATATTCTAAGCTGAAGAAGGAGCTATCCCACGTGGGTTTCGTGAGCATGACAGTGGATCATGCAGCACAGTTCTTCAACAACGGTCACGGGAAGCAATTGTGTGCATCCCGGGATGTGATCATGTGCAAGAATTCCGAGGGAGTTGAGGAGAGGACCTCCATCTTCGTGATAGACAAGGATCTTGGCAACGTGGCCTATTCATCCTGGATCAAGAGCGTGCTCGATCAGGGGACGATGTATGACCTCCTGGGACAGACTTCGAATGAGGAATCCTTGGGGGACGTCGTCGAGATGATATTGGGATTCTTTGAGGTGATGTCGTACTTTCAGCACGAGCTCCCGCTGTGGAAGGATGTATGGAAGATCAAGAGGGAGTTCGAGCAGTCAATCGTACGACACCTCGCCGGGAACGTGAGCCACACGACGGGCCAGAACCGAAAGCGGAATAAACCATCCGCACAACTCGGGGCGCCCGGGAAAGAAGTGCTGGACATCATGAACAAGATCAAGCCCAGACATCCGCGATCCCTGATGACCGAGCCTGCTGCTCAAGGATCCAAGAGAAAGGCAACAGAGGGCGAAGGTGACGGTCTTGGTCAAGTACCAGACCCGAACCGAAGCTCTCAGCCCAACGCTGAGAAAGAAGAAAAGAAGCAGCGAGTGATTGATGGGCGGAGAGCGGCACTCGGATTCCTGGAATCAATGGAGAAGTGCATGGGAGAGATGGGAATTTGTATGAGGTGCGCGAACCTGGCCCACGACGGCGACTGCAAGGACTATGAGGAGGCTGCTGGGAACGAGAAGGCGATGAAGAAGATCCGTGAACTACTCAGCAGTGATCATGTTTCCTCGGATGAAGAAATGGGGGATACGGAAGAGCCGTCCTCATCAACGTCCAAGGAACGCAAGAAAGGAGGACAAGCAGGGAAAGAAACAATTGAAATGTATAGCTATACCAGCAACCTGGTGGAGATGGCTGACACGGCTGAGGGAGGAGAGCTACAATGCGGTGGCGTGGACCTCACCCACAATCCGTGCGGGGACAACAGAACGTTCAAGACGACGCTAGAGCGAGGATGTGACACCATTCCATGCTACATCCCGAAGTATGGCGACGTGAGTGACGTGCATATGCCATGGGCGTATGCGTCTAGTGTTGACCCCAGGTACTTTCCCAAAGGTGCCAACCTTGAGCAGGTGGATGTGATGCAGCTTGGCAAGAGCGTCAATTTCTGCGTTGCTCCTTTTGACGGTGCTCCACTATGCAGGATTGGCGATGATCGCTCGGTATTTGCTACGAAAGATCAAGCAAACCAGCTATCTCACAACCTATGCAGAGTCCTTCGGCACAAAATCGGCAATTGCCGAGGAAGTGTTTTCAGATGCGACGAAGGTGGATGGGTCGACATTGACGCAGTCATTGACGACCGGAACAACGACATATTCCCACCTACAACCTCGAGAGCAAAACGATACATGGGCATCATGGAAGTGATCAAGTGGCAGGAGTCCGGACATAAGAAATCGAGATTTCAGGTCCTGGCAGCAAGGTTTCCAAGCATCATGAACCCGAATGACACGAGGGCGGCCAGGGAGGAGATGACCAATGCTGGCCTGGATCGGGATGACATCGACAGGATGTTCAACAGATGCGATGGATGGTACAGGCCTTGGTGCATCCGACAGTGATTTTGGATTCATGAGCTCATCCGCACTGGCAAATAGGTATTCCGCAAGGATGGGTGATTCTCTCGGAGGAGCATTCCATGTGACGTATGTGGAAAACCTGCCAAGTATCGTACGCTGTGGGCTAGTCCCCGGCGGAATCGATGGCGAAAACAGGCTAGCACTGCACTTCGGAGCATTTGCTCCATGGGATGAGATGAACGTAGCGACGAAGGTGACGCTACGAAACGTAAGGACGGGGGATCCGATTGCGATCATCTACATTCCCAGTGCAACCCTCGCGCGGTATGGAGCTGGAGTCGCGGCAAATGGGACATTCATGGTCTTTGACGTGATCCCGTTCTATGAGGTCAAGTCCATTTGGATTGGCAAAAGCAACGGAGGGAAACGCCTGGAGTACGGCGACATCAAGAGAGCGTACTCGAAATGTGTGGAGAACGAGATCTGTCCTGGTTTCGTCAACTCATCCCAAGAGTCGGCTGCGATGTTCCTCCAGAACGTCGCAAAGATCAACGAGAGGATGCCTGAGACCGAGGCAGGTGCCGATAATCTGCACTACATCAAAGACATGGTCGATCGTGCATGCGAACTTTATCGGGACAACAAGATGGAGGAGTTCGATGCGCAGACCAACGAGGTCAGGGACGAGGTCAGCAAAGTCGTCATCCTGAATGACGAGACATGGGAAGGACTGAGGTGCCGGATATGTCCGTCATGTGCGACCGCAATCCCCACATGCTTCTGCTTGTGCCTGGAATGTGGAGCGCAACTGATCTCCACCGGGAGGTTCTACATCCACATCAATTCCGACGACGATGGGGACAACCAAAAGCCCAATGTCTCGGGTGATGCCAGGCGCGCACAAGAAGAAGCCAACCATGATGCGGCAGCACAGGAGGATGATGATGAGGCGGAGGAAGTTCCTGAAGAAGACGACATGGACACGCAAGGGTATACATCCGGCTACGTGTCTGAGGAGGAAGATGGCGGTTGGCAGTACCGCGACACTGATTTGACATCACGGGATATCATAAATACCCAGCGGATGCGATTTGCCTTGATGAGCCGCGCGAAGCTCAATACATGGCGGGATTCATCGCACTGCAGATGTCAAAGATGTGGGGGATGTTCGAAGGTGGTGAGGAGAGAACGATGAATGCCGGGCTCGAGGGGAGACCGGGCTGCCCTTACCACAACGACTTCAAGAAGTACCCCAACATGACTGAGCACGATCAGGAAGGGATCCTTTTACCATCAACGGTACTGAAGATTTCTCAATCCGAGAATGTTCGGACAAGGATCTTCCGGTCGGCTGAGGAGCGTGAAGAATACATTCGTATGATGGTGTGCAAGTGCGAGGGACTATACATATTCTACAAGCTGTGGATTGCAGCAAGAATCCTCGACGTCACCAAGGACGAAATGAAGCTCCTGGTCAAGGACCGCGTGCACCCGGTGGGTGATATTATTTACAGATGCTTTTCACTGGCTTTCAACTGTAAGTATATATCGTTCGTGAGGGATGGCCTGAACCTTGGCAAATATGGTTATTCGGTCAATGTGAGCGCCATTATTGCGGCCATCGACCCGAATAAATGCGATACACCTCTGCTGGATTGGTGCCTCCGAAAAGGGCATTGGATACCAGAGGATCATAACAAGAAGTGTGTCCGGGCGCGAGAAGCCCAAAAGAATTTGGACGAGGAGTTCCGTCGACGTACTCACAGACTGTCCATTGGAGACAGGTATGCGTAATGCAGATGCTGATTGCGGCACGATGTGGGTTAGTCCCCATCCGTTGCTTGCGTCTCATCAACATCATTGCGATGGAACGACTTTACATCATGATATGATTTCATGCGTCCAAGATGAATGGATGTGTATACATTTACATATTCCGACGGCTATGACATTCCGGATATTCATGGATGGAACTATTACCTCATGGATGATTCCTTTTCATTATATATATTATTCATGGTATCTGGAATGGCTATGATTTGCATTGATTGCTCACCGATATTTCTTTGCCGGTGATATGCAGATTGCTTACGAGCAGGCGCTTCTGTTGAACTTCTATGGCCAACCCATTTCCTATGGATGACGGCTACGCGATGCGCAAATGCGGCAGCTGGGATGTTCAATGGTTGTCAAATGACGTGACAATAGTGTATATATTACACCTGCATATGGGAATGTGCTACGATCTGCGGATGCATGTTTCATTTTCAATCGAACCCGGCATGTTTCACAATGAATGAACGGTGTAGCGATAGCAAGTAAAAGAGTGCACGACACAGTTTCGTAGCTGAAGCCGGGGCCAGTGGAACGTTTTGTGGTGTTTGGACCGCATGATGAACAATGCGACCCAAATGGGGGATGTTAAAACCCTCCTGGCCCCGTGCCTAAATTGGGAAGCTGTTCTGAGGTCCGTGTTTGTGTTGCTTGTCAGGTTCCATTGATCGCCATTTGGCTCAAGACACAATTGAGGTTCAAGATCTTATGTGTAGCTGCGTTCATACGTGATCGGCATTGAGAGCGGAAAACACTTCGCTTGCGCTGCATTTGTCAGGACCACTGTTGTAACTATTATTCCTTCTCCCTTACAACGTTTACACGGGTTCGGCTATAACGGCTTTGACCGTATACACCTTTCTACGTGGTTGGTATTACAGCTGGAGGGTTCGGTGCACAGCGTCCCACGGGACGTCACCTTGCCGTCTCTTGACAAAGAGAACCCACAGGTTTGGGGATTCAAGCCCTTTTGAGACAATCCCAGGGGTCTTTTTTCAGACCGAAGAGTTTGTCATGGGAAAGGCGCCCGAAGCTTGCCACGTGTTTGGGGTCCAGATCCATTGGGTTTGTCTCGAGCTTGGACCCCCAAAATGTTTCAAGGTAAGGGTTCCCTCGACGCCTATGTTGACGCATGGTGTCTTTCTTACCCTCATTTTGGTTTTACGAACTAAAAGAAAAGCCGGGGGAGTCCAGCAGGGTTCTTCAAACCGCGCATGGAAGGTCCTGGAGGCGGAGGTGAGGAAGGCCAAGGAGGAGGCCGCCCAGGCAGCAAAGGAGGCGGCCCTAGCCAAGGCGTGGCTTGGCATTGGAGGCGCTGGGAAGCGTCTGAGCTCCCTGCTTGGCATTTTATGTTTGAATGCGAACAGGGTTGTTTGAGTCTATTCTTCTGACTAGTTGTTTTTCTTCTTCTTCTTCTTCTTCTGCTTCTTCTCCTTCTCCTCCTCCTTCTGCTTCTCCTTCTCCTTCTCCTTCTTCTCAGCTTCTCCTTCTCCTTCTCCTTCTTCTCAGCTGTCGCAGAAGATGTGCAGCTGCTTGCCGAGTTTTCGGAGAATGGCATGTCCCTTTTAGCTGCATATTATGCTATTGTGGCAATTGCTTCCGAAATTGGGTGCGTCTCCAAATGGGGAACGCTTTGATGGATGGTTCAATGTGGAACCCACAGGAAAAAACCGACCGCGTGGAGCATCACACGAACCAGCGGCCGAGGAACGTTGAAGCCGTTGAAGCATCACCAAAGACCGGCTGGTGGTTTCAACATACCTGTGCCATGTTGTTCAGTCAGTTTCCTTCAGGTAGGATAGCTTGCAGCGGAAGTGTACGGAATGCTCATTCCGAGGTCCACCATTACGCCATCCCAGATGAGCTCCGAGCAGAACATCACCATCCGTGAGACTAGCTTTTGATGGGCTCAATGGCACATGGTGCAGACAGCTGCAGATTGCCGTAAAAGCTGCGGGTTTTGTTCATTGAGCGTCATTCATTTGGGCCCCATGTTGCTTCCAGCTTGGAGAAGGACTTGAAGTAGAGTGGAAATCTGAAGCTACAACAATGTGTTGGCTGAGAAAGCAACTGCTAGTAGCCCTCAATACTCTGCACCATTCTGAGGGTCAGGTGCGCAGTAACCCCGAGTCACTCAGAGGCAATCCGGAGCTGACTGCAGACCGTCTCACTCTGCCGTGGAGGCGCTGCACGACCAACTGTGCGGAGAGCTTTCGAGATTGAGGCAAATATGCTGCCACCGGACCCAAAACAATAACTTCGCACATGGTACTCAGCTGGCTATGAATCTGGATAGCAGGCATCCTCAAACAGGGTTGGTTGACCTGAATCTTCAAGCCCCGGTGCCTCCCAGCGCATAGACTCAATGTATATGCGCATGCCTCGGAAGAAAGTGTGCTTATTGGTTGAGGCGAGTTGCTTGGTCTTTTTGGACAGTTCGTTCTCTTCAGAAATGTTTGCTCCTCCGGAACGGTTGCCTCCGATGGAACTGGAGCGGACCACTTCTACGTTGCCTTGCTCTTGGCTTGTGAGTCCATGGCACAGCATCAGTATTTCAATGACGAAGCGATTGGGTAACTCCTACACTTCTCTTGTTTACAATTAAAAGGGAGGCGCCATCAAATGATGCTCTTTAATCATGTGAGGATTATATAATATGTACCAGGCAGGCAACTGACTCTCTAGCTGTAAGTGGAAAGCAGGGAGACTGTTTGTAGAATAGGTCGTCCTATGTAAAAGGATATATCGGTGTATCTCAGTGCAGGACAACCTTGAGAAGCCGGACGTTATGCCATAGACTGAGGCAAGGTGGAAAGGCCGGCTAGCACGACGCAGGCAGGATCCGGCATGTCCCAACATAATGTCAAACCGGCGCCCTCATCGCTTCTTTTTGGGGGGAGGCGTCGCAGTTTGGGTCCCCTTTGGGTTGAGGTGTATGTCTCCCATCAAAGAGGATCCAACGGTCTGACAGCCCCCATATGTGCGATAGGAAGTCCGAGGAGTATCCATGAGTGTCAACAACATTATTGCGGCGCTTCCCTGGAACCTGTCCAGCACCTGCTGGAACCCTTGAGGGTTGCCCAGAATATGGCTAAAACCTTGAGAGGTGTATCTCTGTTTTGCCGCTCAAAGGTCTGTGCACGTCCCTGCCAACTGAGCAGCGCCCAAAACCTCCATTGGAGATGTTGAGAGGTGGTTCTACTTCCTGGCTTACGCAGCTATAGCAAGGCCCCTACAAAGCCAGCGAAGCCGCTGGTCGGAAGTGTCTAGAATACAAAAACTATTATCTTTTCTCGTTTCACGCTTCTCTTTCCGTTCTTTCTCTCTCTCTCTCTCTCTCGTTCCCTTTATTCTCTCTGTTCATTATGTTTCTGTGATGTGTCTGGTCTCTTGTCCTTTCTGTCTTGCATCTCTTTTATGTTTCTTTCTCTTTCTCTTTCTTGTGTTCCTTGTTTCTCTCTTTTTCTCTTTATCGTTCTTTTTATTTTCACTTATGTTGTTCTCTTTATTTTCTTGTTTACATATTTCTATTTATGTTTATCGTGATCTGTCTCTTTCTTTATCTGTCTCTTTCTTCTTTTTATCTTTCTATAGTTTTCTCTCTTTCTCTATATATTTCTCTTTCTTCTCTCTCTCTCTCGTTTATTTACCTTGCTAGTTATCTTTCTGTTTGTGTATTGTATTTCTTGTTTCTTTCTCTGTCTATTTTTGTTTTTCTTGTTTGCTTTCTCGTTATCGTTATTTATCTTTTATTTATCCTTCTGTGTATCTTTATCCTCATCTTTCTCTCAGTTTTAAGATTTTTATATATTTATCTTGCTTTTGTCGTTCTCTTATTTGTTTCTCTTTTTCATCATATCTTTCTTTTTGTCTGTCTCTTTCTCGTTTTGTTCTCGCTATCTTTCTTGTCTCTTGTAATTTCTATTTCTATGTTGTTTTATCTTTCTTATTTCTCTTCCTTTCTTTCTCTCTTTCTCTGTATCTTTGTCTTTATTTTGTATTTTTATTTCTCTTTGTTTTTCTCCTCAATTTATATTTTCTTTCTCTGTCTATGTATCTTCTTTTTCTCTTTCTGCTTCTCTTTCTGCTTCTCTTTCTTTTCTCTTTGTTTTCTCTTTCTTTTCTTTCTTCTTTTATCTCTTCTTTTCTCTCTTCTTTTGTGTCTTCTTTTGTCTCTTCTTTCCCTTTTCTTTCTCTTTCTCTTTCGCTTTCTTTTCTCTTTGCTCTCTGTTTCACTTTCTTTATCTTTCTCTCTCTGTTTCTCTTTCTTTCTCTACCTCTGCCAGGAGGTCTGTACCTGATCTTGTGAAAGTGCTGCACCTGCCACGAAATCCACACCTGACCTTGCCAAAGTGCTGCATCTGCCACGAAATCCGCACCTGACCTTTCACGAAATTCCGCACCTGACCTTGCGAACGCGCTGAACCTGCCACGAAATCTGCCCCTGACCGTGCAAAAGCGCTGTGCCTGCCACGGAATCTGTACCTGACCTTGCGAAAGCGCTGCGCCTGCCACGCAATTTCGCGTTGCCATTACGTGGGCCGTGCCGAGCCAGACATCGAGACAGCGAGACAGAGGTGGTTGACATCGAGACCCGCCAAAACCCGCAGAGAGTCACTCTTTCTTGCGATTTCTAATCCCCGCCACATGCCAACGCATGTTTTCTTGCATGCGTTCATTCTTTCTTCATCTGATCTGCGCACTAACTCTCTGCATGTGCTTTCTTTTCGCATGCTCTATCTGATCTTTTGTAAGCTATCTGCAAGAGCTATCTTTTCGCGTGCTATCTGATCTTCTAAAGCTTCATCTATTTGCGCAAGCTACCTTTCAATTAGTTTCTGTGCTACGGAAGTTCCTTCTAAGCTTCCTTTGATGACCGTGGCAGAACCAAAAGTCAACCAGCGAGGGCAACCTCTTCCGCGTGCCATCGGACGTTGTCAATGTGAAGGGCCCGGGCTGGCATCTTCTCAGGCGCGGGCCGTGCGTGCACCTTCGCACGACAAGATTGACGGCTTTCCATGGCAACTTTGCTTTCCCTGCCATGTGTCCTGATTTGGAAGAGCTATTCTCCGAGCACCTTACTTTCCAGATCCACTGGCAACATTTCTTATGAGGAAGCGAGCGGTTGGGCGGAGCCGGTCAATCATTGATGGCTCATTCTCTGCGTTTGTCCATTGGCTTCTCGGATTGAACCAGCAACTCAGCGCTTAGCTCAAGGACTGCATGGTAAATGTAGGGTGCTAAAATCATTCATGCTTTCGTGTAAGCAACTAACTTGATGTTTCAAAACTTGTTGTGTGACGGTACCAGTTTGCCAGCAGCGAGAAGTATCTACTGTAGCTCCCTCTCTCTCGCACACAGCCCTCCCACCCAGACACACACGCAAACGCGCAGTACGTGCACAATTGAAGAATGTGTACACATATATATTATATATATATATTATTCATGCAATCAAGCCTTTCGCCGCAGCGACCATGCCGCACTCCTGGCTGCTGCTGCCGGCGGTCGTGCCCGTCGTGACTGTGCCCCAACTTGCAAGGCAAAGGTCAGCAAAGCGCCCGCTTTGAAGGGAAGGCAAGGGGAAACTACTCATTTGGTAGGTTCCCTCTTTTCTCTGTTGTTTGTTGCGGGGGGCATTTTACTGGATGTGTAATTAGCTGTCGGGTTGTACTGTTCCGGGTTGAACCATTGCTGTGTTAGGATGCGACCCTTGAATCCGTTTGCCACTGGCCGATGGTCATGTGTACTAGTTTTTGCTATGAAACACTAGACTTGCCCAGGCCATGTTCCTCATTTGGAAGGAGGTTTTTTGACCAGGCCTTCCTTTCTTGTGAGGTGCTGGGGATAGACAATGGTATCGGCCTCACGCCACCCCGCGGCTGGCGCTCATGGAATGCCTTTGACTGTTTGGAGAGCCTTGGCTCTCTTTGCAAAGCAAATGTCCGTCAAGTCCCCGTTTGCATGCTTGACTCTACGCTTGGATGTGTGTCTCATTTTGCTGTTGTTTTCCCGAAGCACGCTAACCCATAGCAGCTACTCGTACCAGGGCGGTTATTCAAATGAACCACCCCCCAACACTATGTGGGAAATTACAGCTAGCAAAAGGTGATACTCTCGGCATTCCGGTGCTTTGCATGTGTCTATTACTGGTAGTCTATTGGGGCCCATCCAGATGTCCCACGAAATCTGAGGGGCCCACCCAATTGTCCCATATCCTCTTGAGGAACGGGACCATTTCGTGCCAGGCATTTGGCAAACAGGGCCAGTCCCAAGCAGGGCATGGTGACGTGTGTCACCACTTTGGGCAGGCTGCAGGCCAAGAGTTGGATGAAGGTTTGAGGCTTACTTTGCCTTCCGTGCCTATCGCTAGCATACATATTTGCCCATGCTATGCTTTCCTGTCAGGACAAGTCTTCCCTACCCATGTATGCTATGTACCATGCAAAGTTTGCCCGTGGCCGCTGCGCCGAGAGAACAGCTATTTTAAGACATTCGTACCAAACGTGCAACGAAATGCATTCGGACGTGTGAAGAATTCAGTCCGCTTTCGTCAAAGTCAAATTTGTCGCGGCGGGCCTTGCCCAACTCTTTGAGTTCTATTTTCCTCCACTTTTCTGTGTCCTTCTGGTTGTTTGTTGTTGAAGCGGTGTCCTGTGCAGTGTTGCGCCCCTTTTCACTTCATGGTTCCCTTTTCAACCCGGCGTGTCAGCTTCGGGCTTAGGCCGCGCAGCATCCTCACCCAGGCGCACGTGAAGGCGCAGATGGACGCGGTGCTGGACAAGAGTCGGTTGGTGGACGGGAAGCCCACCAGCCTGGCGGAGCCCCTGTGGCCCAAGTCGTTGGGAAAAGGACAAGACAGCCAGACCCCGCTTCGTTTCGTTTCAGTTGCCCGACTCAAGGACAAACCAAGGGAGGTTGGTTGAGAAACAAATATGGTTTGATCAAGGGTTGGTTGAAACAAGAGTATGTACTTGGTTCAACATGGGCCAACCCTGGGTCTCAGAAGATATTCTAGAATATCAGGGAAGACGTTGTTTTTCTTATCAGGATCCCCTCCTTGGGTGTTCTGTTTGTTGGAGTTGAGGGCTTTTGTGACGGCTCACGGAGGACGGAAGCACATTGCCAGGTTCCCATCAGAAACAACATTGAGCAGAGTGTGGAGAGGACGAGCAGATACAACTGCAAAGAGTTTTGCAAGCACGATTCCGCTATCAAGAGTACCAGCTCTTCGGATTGGGCTTTCATAGCGCCGAGTTTGATTGGACAGAGAATTGCCCGGGCCAGCGATACGGCTTGGCAGTGCTTCAGCTTTGCAACTTGGGCAATCCTTGTGTTTCTGGCTGCTACATAGCCCAATGATATGTTCTTTCCAGAAAGGAACCAGAAGGAGAAGGACCGGACAGTTCGCTTCTTTCCAGAACCTTTACAATGTGTCAATTCCTGGGTTGACCCTTGGAATTCGAATTTGTTTTTTCCCCGGGCGGAGGGGCGGGAGTGGCAAAAGCGCCTCGCCGTCGAGGCTTGGCTTCGATTGGATCAGCATGGACGATGGCTGGCAGCGATGCAACTGCAGCGTGCGCCAGGCTCCTGGGCGTTGCGTTTGTCTAAACAACAGCTTGGGGTCTGGCACGTGCTTGCGATAGACAACAAGACCTGCTTGATAGCTTTAGTGGGCGACTCGATTTTCGCAACTGGATACTAACCTGATTTCCTAGAATCGGTGGAAAGGCGGGCCAGCGCCAATCTAAGAAAGCTGTGGAAGAGAACAATGAGCGAATACTCAAAGGTAGAGCAGGTCTGGTCGTGCACCTGTACGGTACCTTCCACGGGAGTCCCAAGCAGCGGTTGCACCAACAACAACTTCAGGTTGGAAGATCGGCGGCGTACTGCAATTGCAGTTCGACAAACGTTTGCTCCAGGGAATTGTCCAGCTCTCTGCCAGACACCCCTTGGCCAACATGTCACTTTATGGGATTCAAATCGCCCATACAATCATTTATCTATGTCTACACATACGTTGATATCCTGATGACATGATGGTTATGTGTGTACAAACAAGATCTGTGTGTGTGTGAGAGAGTGTTGTTTTTGTGTGGAACCCGCAGCTGTAGACGGAATGTTGGGCAGGCCTTGGTATTCGCGTCTCACGGTTCGGCCTGTCTGGGTGCAGGACTTGGATCCCAAATTGCCCAAGTGCGACGGCAACCTCTGCTTCGGTGGCCACTGCTCTTGGCACGATGCAGCCGGCGTGCCAGTGGTGCGGAAGGATCGATTTCCCAACATGAGACCTGGCCAACGCAAGGTGATTTTCTTCCCTGTAGGGCAACCAACAGTTGGTGTTTACAACCCAACAGGAAAATGTGCTTGGAAGGCTGCGCATTGGGAGGTTGGCATTCCACCATACGTTGTTTCATGCAGACGCTTGCTTCTGAATCTGGCCATTTTGCTCCAAGGGCCCCTTTTCTTTCAGTGACAGCCATGCGCGTTTTCAATTTGGCTGACATGTTTTAGGCTGGCGGCGTGACCTCCAGCAACTGTTGCCTGCCTTGGAAAGGGCAGAGTGCTCTCTCGAAACGGAACCCCGTGTTCTGCAAAGCTTGTGCCATGGATGGGGGCTTCCCTGGATTGGTTGGAGCGTGTGCAAGATCCACAACCGATTGGCCAAGACAAACATGCTGCATTTCAACAGGTTTGTTTCTATCGCAGGGGTACCTCAAAATTGTGGCTACGGTGGCTCCCATGTAAAAACAGCCCCGAAAAGGTTACCCTCAAAAGCAGACAGGCCCAAACAGGGTAAGCTTTGGTGACGTTCTAGTTGCGGATAAGAACAATTGGAGTGCAGCCCTTATTCTGGAACCCATCCGTACTGCGCCAGATATATGGTTGATTGCAATAGGCCTCGTGTCTTGCGTCCGCGTCCGAAATTCACATGCAGCACCGATGAAACCACCGATGCGCTGGCGATTTGGGCGTGCGGCGGCAAGCCGAGGAAGGAGTTGGTAGATTATGGCCACGCCCATGAGCTGAAGGTTGGCACGTACCTCAATACCTGCATTTGCCGCGAGCTCAGTGTGGAGTGGGGGAGTGGGGGAGTAGGTGGCGTGCGCGGCTTAGGATGATCTTGGAAAGGCAGCGTGTCGTCCCGGCCTTTGGAGGTCTCTCCTATTTTATCAGGATACATCCTTGTGAATGCATCCCCAAGTCGGACGACAAAGCCAAGTGAATTGCTCCAGATACAATTTCTTTGTTTGCTAGCTCGGGCCGTTTGAAGAGGCTCATCGTCCTAGGCCAGGCAGGTCACTAGAGAGCCTGTGTTTCGGAAAGCTGCCTCACCACAGCCCAAGTGAACCTTTTTTGCCTGGCTTTGCTCAGCGTGAACATGAGCAAGTTGTTCTTGTTTGCCGCACTCTGCCATGTGTGTGTGTGGTTGACGTAGGGAATTGGACAGTCCCTCATCGCTCCAAGCCTTGGATATAAAAGCTGCTGTTGGCAACTTAGCAAGTGCGGCACTCGTGCCGAGGTAACGAACATGGGTCGCCACACTATTCGGAAGACGTGAAGTGGATGCAGGACTTGGGATTTGATGGGGTGACTCTCGGCTGTGTCATCCTGCCAGCTCCAAATTCTGACTAAACGGATGAGATGTTGGCCTCGAAAGTACTTGTCAAGATGACCCATTCGCAGACTGTCCGCTATGTCTTAAATAGCCAACATGGTTTATTTCGCCAAACACAAGCAGGGGATTGGCAATTGTTGATATTTTCCGGACCTTTTGCTTGCAAGACAGGTGTGGAGGAAAGAGTATCTGGTTTGGGTTTGCGAGGATGTGTAGAGTAGGCGACGGTTGCACAGGGGCGGGTGATGTAGGATGTGACACGTGTCACTGTGTTGCTGGCTATGTGTCAAGATCAGGAGCTCCAAAATTGTAAGGTCATGTTCGTGTCCCTTTGACCCAAGGAATAAAAAGGGAAGCACAAACACAACACACACACACACACTCACACACACACACACCACTCACACACACACACACCACACACACACACACACACACGCACACCCCCTGCTGCACAAGGAAGATCGACAGCTGCGGCAGCTCCAACAATGTCACCCGCTGGGCGGAGCTATTCAACCAGACGGGCAAAGCAATCCGCGCTTAGGCCAAGAATTGCGTGCCGGATATGGTGTTTTCTCCCAGCGGCAGACCTTTGTGTGGTTGAGTGGACCCCTTCTTGACTGGTGGCCCCTATTTTGGGTTGGTGGCTAAGGGGAAAGCAGTGGAAACCCCTGATGTTTGAGTTGCGGATGAAATCACTGGGCATGACAGCCCCTTTTTGGCTCAAGAAGGAAAATAGCCTGCAGTTAGTTGAGTGGGTTATGAGCCCAACGTTTTTCCTGTAGGCCCTCCTAAGGGCACGCCATGGCATCCTCGGCTGGGTCGGCGCAGACCGCTGACTCGCCGGAGACGGCGATGGTGCCGTGGCAGCCAAGCCGCGAGGACGCGGTGCCGCTGGGGCCGGCGGTGGCGGTGAATCCTTTTTGGTCAGAAAAGGCCAAGGAGGAAGCGCAGCTCAAGGCGCTTCGCCCGAAGGATCTGCCGGAGGTGGAGGAGGAACAAGGGTCGCTGGTAAGCCCGGGAGCGCTGCCGGTGGGCTCGATCTACAGCGCGGAGATCCCGGCGGGTGGCCTTGATGAGCTCCTCGGTGCCTTCAAGCAGGTCATCACGCAGAACCAGGTGCTCTGGCAAGAGATGAAAAGCCTCAAGGAGCAGGTGCGTGAAGGCGGTGGAAGCAAGGCCATGAAGGAGTTGGGGGATGCACCACGTGGTCCTGGGATGGGGCCTGGGGTGGACGCGCCTCGTGCTGCTCCGGGAGGTGGTGATCTGTTGGGTCTTCCGGGAGGAGGTGGCGTTGGCGGACCTTTGGTGCTGCGAGCACGACAAGGAGGACCTGGAGATCAGAGCGGGTACCAAACCCCAACGGCGCTGGCGGGAGCCTATGGTGGTGCACCGCCCGGAGGAGGACCTCGGGAGCGTCGAGCAGATGATGGTCCTGGAGGGCTTCATCCTGAACAACCTCGAGGGGGAGAACCTGGTCGTGGAGGTGCGCATCGCGGAGGTGGGCAAGGACCAGGAGATCCTTCTGAAGGAGCGCTACTACCTGGCTATGGAAACGGGTGGGTCACTGGACGTCAGGATGAGGGTCTTCGGGGTGAGGGCCAGCCATCGGGGCACGAAGGAGGTGGGTTTGGTGCGGCTGGTCGTCATGCAGATCAGCATCTACCCGGCGGAGGGTTTCATGGAGGGTGGCCCTATAGCGCTGGTGGACCCGGAGGTTCTGGTGGAAGTGCGGCGGCCATGAATCCGTGGATGGGAGGATGGACGCCTGGAGAAACCGTTCGCACGGTGGAGTTGCCGGCATTGGGGGAGGTGAAGGAAGGCGAGCTCGGGTCATTGGTGGTGGGGGATTGGCTGATGTTGATCAGCCCGGTGATGAAGGACCTCACTGTCAGTTCCGGAGCATGGTGGGATCAGGTGCTTGCAGTGGCGGCAGAGGCCTACGCGCAGTGGTTGCAGGCGGATCCTTTGCAGCGGCTTCACATCAGGCCGCGGGCGGTGGAAGATGAAGGTGGTCGTTGGAGTCGGGTGGCTCAGCGGGCACAGGCCATGTTGGTGGCTGCTTTGCCACCAGGGTTGAAAGCGGAGGTGCTTGCGGAGCGAGCTGCAACGGCCTGGGAGATTCTGTTCCGGGTGTTTACAAGGTACCAGCCAGGAGGGCTGGCGGAGAGATCACAACTCCTCAGAGGCTTGGTTGAGCCGCGGGTGCCAACGACGCTGAGTGAGGTGGTGGATGGGGTGAGGACGTGGAAAAGGTGGCTTGCCCGGACCCGTGAGCTGAAGGTGGCGATTCCGGATGCTACGTTGCTGGTTGGAGCCCTGGATCGGTTCGTCGGGATGGTCACGAAGCATTCTGGCCAGGCGATGTTCAGACTGAATGCGGCACGAGCTGGACTGCGGGTGGACGTGGCTCCCAGTTTGGAGGCGGTGGCGCAGCTGGCGGACGTCGTCCTGGCGGAAGGAGAAGCAGCACTACACGGAGCTTCGACCTCATCTACTACAACCGCAAAGGTCAAGGCGCTGGTGACCAAGGATGGAGGAGGTTGGGAAAAGGGGAAGGACAGCCCAAAAGGAGGAGGGAAAGGCAAGGGCAAGGATGCTTCGGCGGCTCCTGTGTGCCGGTTCTTCCTCACGGATGGGGGCTGCAAGAAGGGAGCGGATTGCACCTACAAGCATGAGTTCGACGGGGACAAGCGTGGACGCTGTTGGAATTGCGGAGGGACTTCGCATACCCGCAAGGACTGCCCGGTGAAGGTGCGAAAGCCTCGCGATGGAGATGGCGGAGCCAAGAACTTCAGCGAGAACGATGTGAAGGGCCAGGCCGTGAGGAAGGTCGAGGTGGATGCATCGGCGCCTACTACCGGTGGAGGAGAAGGATCGCCCGCGTCAGGGGCAGGGAAGACATCACAGTCAGATGGAAGTGATGGTGAAGCAGTGCGGGGACTCATTCAGGAAGCAGCGGGATTGCTGAAGAGCTTGAGGGGCCCTGAGTTGAGGAGGATTCAAGTGAGCTCCCTGGAGGTTAAGAACAAGAGGGCGCTGCTGGATGGAGGAGCGACGCACAGCCTGAGGCAGTGTGTATCTACACAAGAGTGGGAGGAGGCTCGGGAGGTCGAGGTGCATTTGGCGCAGGGGACGGTCTCTTTGCGGCTCATCCCGTGGACGAGGACGTTGCTGACCACAGAGGAGGTCCAGCCCATCGTTCCCCTGGGGTACCTGGTGCAGAGGGGCTACTCGGTGAAGTGGGAAGAGGACCGCTTTCAGCTGACCGATCAGCATGGGCGGACTCTGGACACCGCTTTGGAAGGAGGATGCCCCACGGTAGATGAAAGCCTCGGGTTGGAGCTCATCAAGGAGTTGGAGCTGGAGGCGCTGAAGCACCAGATGCGGTTGATGGCGTTGAGAGGGAAGCCGTTGACGACGCAGGAGGAGGAGAAGGTTGGCCTGGAGATGGTCAAATGGCTTCGGAGGCTGAGGGAGCTATTTCCTGAAGTGCCGGAACGCATTCTGGAGCGGCTGCCCCCGAGGTCGGAGTGGACAAGTTTGCCGTGGAATAGGCGGACCAGGAGGAGGATTCAGAAGGCCAAGGAGGTCATCCTCCACCTTTATTCGGGCCCGGACGCGAAGTTCTGGGAGAAGGAGTTGGAGACAGCAGACAGAGTGGTGCTTTGCATTGATCTGGAGCTGGGAGAAGGCCAGGACGTTGGGAAGGACGGCGTGATGGCCTATCTGATGGAGCTGTGTGCTTCGGGAAAGGTGAAGCAGATCTTGGCGGGCCCTCCGTGTCGGACTATCTCAAGGATGAGGTTTGTGCAGCCGGGACCGCCACCGTTAAGGACGAGAGATGGAGAAGAGCGCTTTGGGCGTCATGGACTTCCTCAGGTGCTGATGGACAAGGTGGATGGAGATACGGTGCTCTGGTTGAGGCCGATGCTGCTGTACATGGTGGCGGAGGAGGCCAGTTCGTCCAAGGTTGGCTTCCTGGCGGAGAATCCACAGGATCCGGAGTCCTACGTGGAAGGAGGTCAAAGAGCCGCAGAAGCTCGGGAGCGGTATCCTTCGTACTGGGCTTGGGACGAGTGGAAACGGTTCAAGAAGGCCTACAAGATGAAGGAGTACCACTTCGATCAGGGGCCCTTTGGCCACGCAAAGACGAAGCCTACGACGATAGGCACCAACATGGAGATGCTCGAGCAGCTGGACGGTGTTCGAGGAGGAGGATCGGACAAAGGTCCGCTGGGAAAGACCTTGGAGGAGCGGATGGCGGCTTCGAAGAAATGGGCTGCTTGGGCGCCAGGGATGAAGAAGGCGATTGCCACGGCAGTTCGCATGGGCTTGGAGCAGGTGAAGCTGAAGGGGCTGAGTGCCGAGCAATGGAAGGCGCACTTGGCGAATGACCACCTCCCGTTTCATCGGGGATGCCGCACGTGCCTGGAAGGAGCCGGAAAGGCGCGATACCACCGAAGGGTAGTGAGCCCTGAGAGCTACACGCTGGCGATTGACCTGGCGGGGCCCTTCAAACCTGGACGAGATCAAGAAGGTGTGGGACGATACATCGTCGTTGGCACCTACACGGTTCCGGTGACCCGGCAGGGACGAATGCTCATGCACTTGGCCCCGGAGCATCTGGCGTGGCTGGAAGGTCCTGGTCGAGGAGACGTACCGGAGGCGGTGAAGGAGATGAAGAGGTGGAGGAAACGGGACTACGACGTCAAGAAGTTGAGGGGCACGGGAGCAGGCGGACCGGCATGGAAGTTCGTAAAGTGGAGGCTCTCGGTGGACCTGGACACTCATGAGATCTTGGAGTCCAAGAACATGGTCGGAGAAGATCAGAAGGCGATGCAGACGGAGATCGACAAGCAGCGAAACCTCTTCACGGTGCTCTACTACCAGGAGGAGGAAGGGGACCTGGAGGGACCGCGTGGGGAGGAGGACATGGAGCTTGACCCTGCGGGGGATGATGAAGCAGCTGAGGAGGAGGAGGAGCCATCTCCAGATGATGGGGAAGAGTGGCTGAAGAAGATAGAAAAAGAAGAGGACTTTGAGGTCCGGCAGCTCACGCTGGTGGAGATCGTGAAGACGAGAGGAGAAGCTCTGGAGGCCGTGGCCAAGATGACCACAAAGCTACGCTATCATGGGCTACCTGTCCGGCGCCTTCACAGCGATAGAGCAGGCGAGTTCACGTCCAAGAGGGCCAAGAAATGGGCTATGGAACGCCTCATCATGCGGACGTTCACTGACGGCAGCTCATGGAAGATGAATGGGCGGGCCGAGGCGGAGGTGGGGTTCATCAAGAGGCTGACCAAGACGCTGCTCAAGGGCTCGGGCGTGGAGGAGAATCTATGGCCGTTGGCGGCACGGCATGCTGGGGAACGAAGATGGAGGTCGCAGCTGGAGGCCATGAACTATCCGGTCAAGCCGTTGAGGGCGTTCGGGAGTGTGGCAATGGCGAAGACCAAGGCATGGAATCACCGGTCCAAGGATTGGGAAGCCACCAGGGAGGAGGTGACCATCTTGGGGCCGGATGTCACTATGTCGGCGTCTTCGGGAGGGTACTTCGTCCAGGGGGAGGATGGGAACTTCTTCCACACCACGGATGTGATTGAGACGGAGGAACCGCCTGAAGAGGAAGGGCCACTTGCTGGTGGTGCTGGAGCAGAAGATGGACGGCCCGGAGGAGGTGGTCCCCGGAGGAGGATTACATCCAAGAGGCCGCCTGCGCTGGAAGATCGAGAATGGGAGCCGGACCTGAGAACCTTGGTGATGGAATGTCAGGCCCGGGGGAGGCACATGATGGAGGAGGAATGGCGTCTAGAAGAGGAACAAGGCGCTGACCACGACATGGTGAAGAAGACCGTCGGGATGCTGGCGGAGGAGGACGCTAGAGTGGGGGCATGGCTGGCGGCAATGCAGAAGGCTGAGGATCTTGACTCTGAGGAGACCTGTGCGAGAAAGGCAACAGAAGAAGAGGTCTTTCTTCAGACCAAGACCTACGCCTTGGCAGATGTGAGGAAAGAAGTGGAGAAGTGGAGGCCTTCTATGGTCGAAGAGAGGGCGGCTTTGCTGAACTCGGGCGTGATCCGGGCCATCAATCAGCGGGAAGCCGAGGCGCTCAAGAAGGAGGCGCTGGAGAAGGGCATACCGTACGACCGGGTTCCGGGAAAAGCGGTGTTCACGAGGAAAGCTGCTACAGGACGACGGAAATGCCGTGGGGTCGCCTGTGGAAACTTCATGTCGGAGAGGCCTGCGGCGGACACCTACGCTGGAGGCATTGACGCGTCTCAAGTGAGGGCGATGGTGGCGGCTGGAGCGCAGCGAGGATGGACTCTTGCGGGGGTCGATGTGAAGACGGCGTTCTTGCAAGTGCCGCCGGGCCGGTCCAAGGACATCGTAGTGGTCAACCCTCCCACCATCTTTCAGGAGTGCCAGATCACTGAGCCGGGAGAGCTTTGGGCGGTGGAGGGATCCGTTTACGGCCTTACTACGTCACCCAAGGACTGGGCGAACCACCGGGACGAAACCATGGGCGCGATCAACTGGGAGATGGAAGATGACGAGGGCACATGGGCTTGCTGGTTCGAGAAAACCAAGGAGGTGAATCTGTGGAGGATCAAGAGCAGTCGGCACGGACAAGATGAGACGGTGGGCTACATGGCGGTCTACATCGACGACCTGTTGATCACTGGAGATCGCGGGGCTGTGGCGGCGACGCTGCTCAAGATCCGGCAGGTTTGGGACACCAGCGACCCGGAGTGGCTGTCGGAGACAGAGGACCTGCGGTTTTGCGGGTTCGAATTCTCTCATGATGAGCAAGGGATCCGGATGCATCAGGAGTCCTACACGGCGGACCTACTGGACCGGCATCACATCGCCAAGGGTGGCACGCTGGGAGGAGTGGGGATTCCGGAGGAGGAAGGGCCCCCGAGTCCTGAAGATGTGCGGCAGGCGCAAGTCATCACTGGAGAGCTGTTGTGGCTTTCTTCGAGGACGAGGCCGGACATCACCTATGCGGTAGCCGTGATGGGGCAGTGGACTACGAAGAGACCTCGGGGGGTCACGAGGATTGGAGAGAAGGTGCTGCAGTACCTGTGGAGGACGTCACGGGAAGGTTTGCGGTACCAACGTCTTGGTGCTGGAGATTATGGGCCGGACCATCAACAGCATCGTGAACGTCGACGAGATGCAGTGGAGGCCTACGCGGATGCTTCTTTTGGAGCCCATGAGCACAAGTCGATCTCGGGATTGGCCGTGTACTACTCCGGCTGCCCCGTCTTCTGGGCTACTACGCGACAGGCGTGTATTGCGCTTAGTACGGCGGAAAGCGAGCTAGCGGCGCTCATTGAAGCCTGGACGGCTTTGAGGGGAGTTGGTGGCTTGGTGGAGGAATTGGAGGAGAAGCCCGCGGAGCTTAGGCTCTACAGCGACAGTAGTGCGGCCCTGGCCATTGTCAACGGGAGCTCGGGAAGCTGGAGGACGAGACATTTGAGGATCCGGGCTGCGGCGCTTTCGGAGGCGGTCAAGCTCGGTGATGTCCAGCTTCAACATGTTCCTGGGCAGAGTCTGGTCGCGGACGGCTTCACGAAACAGCTTGGGGCCTCACCGTTTGGGCGCTTCAAGGAGTCATTGGGCTTCTATGGTGGGGCGGTAGAGAGCGGTGAGAGCCCGGTGGAGGTTGTCAAGGTGAAGAAGATGGAAAGCAGTCGGGACAGGAGGTTGGAGAAAGTCCTGGGATTGTTGGTGGTGGCCTCTACATGCGTGGAGCTGACGGAGGCGAAGGAGATGGACCTTGGAGAAGAAGGAGGTGGCTACTGGTGGCTGGTGGTGATCGTCGCCGTGGTCATCTTGCTGAAGCTGGTCATCTTGCTTGGAGCTGGTCAAGGAGCATGGAGTGGTGGCATTGCGGAACTGCTTGCGAAAAGAGGAAGAGCTGCGGTTCCAGAGAACCTGTGCGGAAGCGGTGATGCCGGAAAGGCCAACGGAGAGCTCAGCCGGGGTGAACCTTTTCGCGGTAAACAGAGTGGTGGTGCCGGCGGAGAGCTACACGCTGGTGAGGACGGGCGTGAAGGCACAGTTACCCCGAGGAACGTGCGGGAGGATCACAACGGTGGCCAGCTTGGCTTTGAGAGGAGTTGAAACGGGATCCGCGGTCATTGAGCGCGACTTCCGTGGAGAGGTGAGGATTTTGGTCAGGAACCATGGACCCCAGGACTACGTCATCGAGCCGGAAGAGGCGGTAGCGCAATTGGTGCTGGAGAAGGTTTCCCTGGCCAAGATCAAGGAGGTGAAGGAGTTAGACGGGCCTGTGAAGAAGCAGACAGAGGAGGTTGGTCCTTCGGTGAGATCGTTGGTGGTCGAGAAGGCGGGTGCTTCGTCAGGGAGACCGTCTATGAATTGGATGACGCCGGAGGTGAAAGGCTTTGGGAATGTGGGTGAGGGGTTGCGGCTGCGAAAGGTTGCACCAGCCGGTGGTGGAGATGGTCCTCCGGAGGTGACAGAAAGGCCATCGCAGGATGAACCTGGTGAAGATGAATGGGAGGTCGAGTTCCGCGAGAATGAGATTAGACTTTCCCGCATTCACATGGTGCCGCGCTACTGGGATTACATTCCGAGGCCTAGAGAGCTTCCACCCGGCATCAACTTTGAGGACTTGGACTACATCAGGATCTCCGAGATCGCTCCGGACGCTGAGAACGGCATGACCTGGGAGAGGATGGTCGAGAATTGGCAAGAAGAGCACTGGGAGAGGAGGACGCCATGGACGGGGTCTTCAAACTTCAGGGTCTTGAGGCGGCCCGAAGCCGGAGTGAGGAGCTCGAGTTCAAGTGGTCCGGGGCAACAACCTCCTGGGAACGGAGGGGGTGGAGAAGCGGGATCAAGGCCCTCTGGTTTCACGGGAGGGGATTCCTCGGCGTTTGGATCAGGGACATCGGCATCTACCGGAGGTGGTGGCGGTGGCATTGATGGGGCGGCAAACAAGCGGCCTAGGACGCATGGAGAGGAGATGATCTCGCGGAGGGTTGTGGGCGGTTCGAGTCAGAACATGCTGGAGATCATGCGGCGCGCTTTCTTTCAGGACCTTGAGGAGAGCGCGGTGGTCATGTTGTCCCATCCGCCTAAGGGGACACGGGACGAGTGGATTGATGTGCCCCTTCCTGGCCACGGAGAGATTGGCATCCAGGTCCACAGGAAGGAGCGCGTGAAGCTCTTCGACACGGAGAAGGAGGGCTACGAGGGAACGAAGCGCACCATTGCCTGGTCCGTTGGAGGAGGGCTGTGGGTGGATCTGTCGCCCCGGAAAGGGCGGCGCGAGAAGTTCGAGAAGGGCAAGTGGGTGGGCTACACCATCTTCAAGAAGAGCTGAGGGGTTTGAGCAGGTTCTTTTTCCGGGTGAGACCCTTAAAAGAAGGGGGAGCCCTGATGTTTGAGTTGCGGATGAAATCACTGGGCATGACAGCCCCTTTTTGGCTCAAGAAGGAAAATAGCCTGCAGTTAGTTGAGTGGAAACAACCCAATTCCAGGCACCCCTATGCAGGCCTGTGGGCCCGGGCCTTCTGCACAGGTATCGAAAATTGCCACAACTCGTGGCCTGACTTTGAGACGGGGTTCTGTCCTATGAACTTCTTCCGTACAGGCAGGAGGCGTGCGATGCTCATCCTTCAAAAAGCATCAGGCCAACCTTCGGGCTGCGTTTCCCGGCAAAAAGCCAGGTGGGGACATCAGTGCTGACATTAGCTCCATACTGAACGAGGCTTATGCCGCCGGGCTGCAAATTTGCTGCAAGCGCCAACAGCCCGAAGGGTGTCAGGCTGTCAGGTGGCAAACTGGTGCTTGCCATGAACCATGGGCCAGTTTTGAAGATGCGCTCTGTTCAGTTGCATCGTTAGGCCGACAGCTAGGAGCAGATGCCATCCTGACGGCTGTGTGGAAATACCCAACTAGCTGTTAAATGGGTTCGCTCTTAGGGGACCTCCAAAATGAGTGGGTTCCCTTTGAATTCCTCATAGACAACCTCGCAAAGGGTTATTCTCGAGAAGAAAGACACCCCAAATCGCAAAGTCTTGCGCTAGGCGCACACGGTCGATGCATGTTTCTGCAGACAAAGTTGACCTCCAGCTGCAGCTCTGAAACAAGAGTCATTTCAGGCCTTCCGTCAAACTCTGAGTCCTCAACGAAGGTCGACTCAGTCCAAGGCACACTGCCACGGTGGCCCTGTTGACGATGCGGGCGTGTGTTTGTGTTGAGGTACCCCGTGGGATTGGTTCCTTGGGAAGCTTCCAGGAAGCCCACCATGTAATAGAGGTCACCCTGTTTTGACAGCCCGTGTGCACTATATAGAGGCTTCATTCACGTTTGGCACTTGTTGTACAATCACATACACCAGCTGGGGCCAAAGTGGGGGTCCCGCTTTGAAATGGTGCAAGATAAACCACATCTGGCTATGTTTTTTACGAGTTGGAACCGTCTCACATATGGTTGGTGGACATCAATCCGAAACGAATTCAGATATCCACCAAAGGGTCCCCAATTAAATTTCATACCCATCACAAACAACACAATGCGCTTGACGTACCTCCTGAGATAGCCGATCACTTAGCCTGTGGACTGCGGGTGCATTTCGCCATGCAAGTGCATGTAAGCTTGCCGAGTGGGAAGAGCTGCTCCGTGTTACTGCTTTCCCCTGAGTCGAGCAGTCATGAACTGAAGGCTAAGGCACAGGAGCAGTTCAGGTGCTGCTCTTTGAGGCTTGCTTTCAGAGGGCAGCGGCTAGATCTGTCATCTACGTTAAGTGAGGTTGGGGTTCTCGATGGAGATCATGTTGATGCCATCGTGCTGCCCATGAGGCTAGCCTCCACACACAGAGCCTTTGCTTTGTATGTTCCAGAAGGCGCAGCACTTACATGGCGCAAGCCTGACTATGGCGGTGACAGCAGCCAGGTGCAAGAGCAGTTGGCGCGAGTCCAGCAGATCCAAGCCAATCGGGTTGCCTTTGCTGCCATTCTGGATGACGGTTCTGTGGTGACTTGGGGCCATCGTGACTACGGCGGTGACAGCAGTAAGGTGCGAGAGCAGTTGGTGAAGGTCCAGCAGATCCAAGCAACTGATCGTGCCTTTGCTGCCATCTTGGCCAACGGGTTTGTAGTGACTTGGGGCAATCCCAAATACGGCGGTGACAGCACCCGTGCGCAAGAGCACTTGACGCAGGTCCGGCAAATCCAAGCATCGCATTTTGCTTTTGCTGCCATCCTGGCCGACGGCTCTGTGGTGACTTGGGGCCAGGAAACTATGGCGGTTGCAGCAGCCAGGTGCAAGAGCAGTTGGTCAAGGTTCAGCAGATCCAAGCAACTGATAGCGCTTTCGCTGCCATCCTGGATGATGGTTCTGTGGTAACTTGGGGCAAGTGTGACCATGGCGGCGATAGCAGCCATGTGCAAGAGCAGTTCGTGCAGGTCCAGCACATTCAAGCAACTGATCGTGCTTTTGCTGCCATCCTGCCGACGGCTCTGTGGTGACTTGGGGCGATCCTGCCTATGGCGGTGACAGCAGCCAGGTGCAAGAGCAGCTGGCGCGAGTCCAGCAGATCCAAGCAACTCCGCATGCATTTGCCGCAATCCTGGAAGATTGCTCTGTGGTGACTTGGGGCAATCCCGCCTATGGCGGTGATTGCAGTTGGTGCGTGTTCAGCACATCAAAGCAAGCGCAGGTGCTTTTGCTGCCATCCTAACCGATGGCTCCGTGGTGACTTGGGGCGATCCTGTCCATGGCGGTGATAGCAGCCAGGTGCGAGAGCAGTTGGTGCAAGTCCAGCAGATACAAGCAAGTCAGCGTGCTTATGCTGCCATCCTGCCGGACGGCTCTGTGGTGAGTTGGGGCGATCCTGAGGACGGCGGGGACCGCAGCCGGGTGCAAGAGCAGTTGATGCGAGTCCAGCAGATCCAAGCAACCAGTTTTGCGTTTGCTGCCATCCTGCAAGATGGTTTGTAGTGACTTGGGGGGATCCTGCCAGTGGCGGATTGACTCAATAGTGCGAAAGGGGCATGCAAACAAGTTGGGTGTTTGTGGGAGTGGAACCTCCAAGAATACACTGAAAGATATCAGCAAAAGGCAAGCCCTGTGAATCTCAGGCCACGGTCGACGCCGCGGACTTGCCAAAGCCTCGGTCAGGGCCAGGCTGCTGGGCGTACCCGGACATGAGCGAGGCTGGCTGAGTGGTCAGGCTTTCTTTTCTAGGCGTACACGTGCGTGCGTGCGTGCGTGCGTGCGTGGGTGGGTGGGTGGGTGGGCGGGCGGGCGGGCGGGTGGGTGGGTGGGTGGGTGTTTGTGCAATATACGTGTGTGTGTGTGTGTGTGTGTCTATGCAAGGCGTGTGTCTATGCAAGGCCGTAGCCATTTTGGCTCAAGTTCCGCAGCCTTACTTGCTTGATTTGTCCTTGCTGTGTGTTCATTTGCCATGCAGTTGTCAGCCGAGTTTGTGAATAACCTGGTGGCGGTACTCAATGTCCTTGCATCCCAAGTTGCGACAGCTCTGGACACCCTGAACTTTGCCCTGATGACTGAGCGAAGCCATCCGTCAGACACTAGAGTGTCTCCCAGGGCACCACGGAACTCCAGGCACGGTCTGCGCCCTCGCATCATCACAGAGCGCATTTCGTCTGACCGATCCCGCTCTCCCACTCGAATTCGAACCCGACCTTTGGACACTTCCTCCACCTGGTATATACCGGCCTTATCCCCGCCTCGTGCGGCACATCGGGATGCCGCTGACAACAATTCTGGTCGTCGGCCTGAATCGATGTTGGATCACCTGCCACCACCACGGCCGCTTGCTCCCTCAGCCCCACACGGCGGACGAGAACCAGGACAGATGACGCCTACGACACCTGACTCGGATTCTGATGGTTCAGTGCGTCCACATCCAGGTGCCTCGTCGTTCCGACCGTCTCCTACGGTGGTTCATGGACCTCGGGAACTTCTACAAGAATTCACCATTGCACTTCGCAATGCACACCGTGAACCTTTCACGGCATGGACACAGGGTGAGCTGGATGAGATGGTGCGACGGAAGAAAGACAAGGATTCCAGGCCCACCTACAAAACCATTGCTCGGTTCCTTCTGAAGCCCATTGAGGAAGTCAAGCAGGCATGGAAGGTCTATCAGCAACTTGAGGCTCGCGGCTAGGAACCGACCACAGGAGGACTAAATGGTAGGCCGTGGCGGTGTATTCGGCTAGCGCTGCAGGTTGTTGCGACGGTTGGGATTGCAGTCATTCTTGATCACATGAAATTTGCTTGCTTGCACCTGACTGGCATTTTACCAGGGTAATATTGCTTGCCGTTGTGGGTGTTGCCGCTGACGTGAATTGAATGCATGACTGAGTTGCTCAAATCATGTCGGAACAAGTCGTACAGACGTACATTACTTGGACCCATGGAGCGCAGCCGACGTGGTTACAGTTTCACGGACCTGGAGCCCTGCTTGACAGACCCATTCGGCAGACTACGTCACCTCCGCCCCCACCAAGTTTCCCACTGCTTCTTCCACCTCCGCCTCCTCCACCACCACCACCACCGGTGATTCTACACCCACAGTTTATGCCCTCAGTACGGAGCCCCTCGATCTCAGCTCCTCGCGGACAATCCTGCCCTGCCACATCGAAATCGCAGCGCACACGCCGCTCGATCTACAGCACTGACCATTCCCGTGATGAAGAGCTACGCAGTCCAGGGCGTTCATGCAAACGATCTCGGACAGCATCCGCTTCTGCGCCGAGGAGATCTCGGCGGCCTTTTACCGTGTTTCCCTCCAAACGAGCTGGCCGTCCATCGCTGTCCCCATCGGCAAATTGCAAGCATTACTGTCATGCCTTCCTGCGCCATGGGCGGAAATGTCTTTCCCCTTGTGTTCGTAGACGACCAGGACATTATCATTGCAGGTGTGCACGGCATCAACGGCGGTGAAGCTTAGGCGTCGTATATTACAAACCTCGCTGCTGTGTCTCACCTTGAGTTTGAAAAGTTGCCTTGCATCCCTTCAGCTGCGCGCGGTTGTCATTGCATGTGTGTCTTCGCCGCAGATTTTCGATTGCTTTTAGCGGCCGCGCGATAGCCTGTCTTGCCGCTATGAACCCTCAATATTTCGAGTACCAGATCGACAGAGGAGTGGAATGGATTAGAATTTACTCACCGGGCACGTGGCGACCCGTTCCCGATGATGCTCCAGTGCTCGCCCCGGCCTACGCTTCCACGTATCGGGAGTGGCGCAGGTCATATCGCTTCCAAGTGTACTGGTCCGAAGACAGCACCGGAGGAACAACAACGGATCCCATTGTCACGCCCAGTTCGTATGTGTCCTACCACGTGTGGGAGTACCGAGACTGGCAAACACGAGGGTATCAACGACTTGGAGCTCCTTTACCAGCCATTGGACTCGCGATGCTCGTGAATGCAGACGACAATTCCTCGGTGGACTCATCGGTTCCGGATGGGGCGTGGCGAGAGCCGTCACCACCACCATTCTATGATCCTTGGAACGATTCGGGGTGATACTAGAGCAACATGTCGGATAAATTGACGCGGTTGTGCTTGCTTTGTATGCGATTCCATGTTGGGTTGTCTTGCTTGGTGTTGTGCGTTCCGTCTTCAGCTGTTTGCCGCTCTCATTTGACTCTGAGCGGTTTGCCTGGTTGATATGTTCAATTGTACAATGTATGGCGCAGCACGATGGGTCCTGCCTCGCTACTTTGACTACGACATCGTCAATGGCCCCGCGAATACGAGAGTAGAATGGATTCGGATCTATGTTCCGGGTCCGTGGCATCCAGTCGCCGAGAACACCTTGGGACCAGCCCCGGATGACTCAACCACCTATCGGGAATGGCGCAAGGTTTACCACTTCGAAGTGTATTGGCCGAGGGATAGCACAGGCGGCACCAATACAGGTGCTGTTTCGCAGCCGGTATCTTATGCATCCTTCTATACTTGGCATTATAGAGACTGGGTCACCAGGGTTTGCGCGGCCAGTTTTCGCTTCGGGCGCACCGGACCTCATGTACGCTGGATTGACCTCTTCATCGGTATTCTCCAACTCCGATGGTGGCTGATGCTCGTCCTCGCCTTCCTGGGGAGTCTGTTCAGTTCAATTAGATTCGGGAGATTGACTTCGATACCGGAGCCGTGCATTGCTGCAAAAGTGATTTCTTTCACTGTGGCAGTTGTGTCTCTTTCAGTAATTGTTGTCTGCAGCCGTACACCTATCAATTTGTCTTTCCGGGTTTGCGTTGTCATGCCGTGGCTGGAATGGTGTCCGGATCCTCAACAACCAGATGCCCAGTGGGTCAAGATCTTTCATCCGGGATCATGGACTCCACATGAAGAACATGATGCTCCACCTCCACCGCACACGTATAGAGAGTGGAGGGAGTTCTATGCTCCCAACCCGGACCAAGACGGTGAGCTGCTCAATGTCACCAAGTGGTACAAAAGAGACTGGGCCACAGAGGGCTATCGGAGAGTCGCTGCCCCTCAAGCTGGTCATGACTTTGATTCTATGTCTTTTCCTGATCATCACAGCGTGGCCACGCAATCCGCGGCATTGAGTATGTCACCGCAGTTGTTAGAAGCGATCCTTAGATCCTCGGATGCGGCGGATTTCTCTACCGAAGAACTGACTCGTCTCCAAGAGGGGATTTCTCAACAACTGACAGCTCGCGCACATCACGCTTCCCAACTTCATCAACCTGTACGTGCATCACGTGGAATCACACCATCGGAGACGGTTGGGGTCTCCGAACCATACCGGCCTGTTAATCCTTCCGACAGCTGCAAAGCCAAGGCGAGACCTATCTTCGAGCTAAATGAGGACTAGATGCACGCGAGTGGGGTAGCGTACAAAATAAGGGTGGTTTTCACACTTGCATTACCTTGCTTGGTTGTTGCTTGCACATGGTTGTGCATGGTGCATGTTCCTCTATCAGCTGGATCGGAGCCCGCGATACGCCTTGCCTCTTACTTCGACATGGACATCGAGGATTCGAAGCAGCACCCATGGCTCGAATACTCGGTCTGGCAGGATCAGGAGTGGGTGCGGATCTACACTGCAGGACAGCCTCAGCGATGGCACTACGGAGAAACTGTACCTGATCTACCAGACAATTCTTTTCGGGAATGGCAGCGGGTGACTGATTCCAATGGGCGACTGGCAGCATCAGGGATACCAGCGCATTCTGTCTCGAATGGAATCCTTCACAACTCATCATTCGCATGATCAATCTCTTGGTGAAGTTCGGAATTCCGATGCCATTCCAGTTGAGGAGACGTTCACCTATGCTACTCCGTTTTCTCATGGTGATCGCTCGACTGCTGCACAACTCACTTCAGTCCTCTATGGCGACACTCGTAATGCTCAACGTGGTGATCTCTCGTTCCCGTCTTCTGAGCGGTTTAGGGCTGTTTCTCGTTCCCCTCGCCGCGGTGGATTTTTTGGTCAACGATAGGGACACGGGGTTGAGCATGTGATCTTCCTGCGGAAAAGGAGACTCCTCGCCCCTCATTGAGGGGCGTTTGTGTGCGGAGTGACAGAATGCCCTGTCACCACCCTTTCGGTTTCTCAGCAGGGGGATGCCGGGGACCTATGCGGTCGGCATCCAACGAAGACGCCGCATTGGTCCTGTGATATCGAGGCTGATCACCTCGACGTACCTGTGCATCTCGTGTGATTCAAAGTCCTTTTGGCCCCCTTGGTTGCGGCGCTGTTTGTGCTTCTTGTTCTTTCGGGTAACGTGTTCGCTGCTAGACGGAAACCAAGTGAATGCAAGCCGAACCTACACCCACTCGAGACTCATCAGTTGTACTCGAGACTCATCAGTTGTACTCGAAAGATTAGCACTCTCCATTTGGAGTTTAAGTGTGTGTGCGTTTGCGCCCGTGCGCGTCTATGTGTTTGTTTGTGCGCGTTTTTTTTGTGCGCCTGTGTGTTTTTCCCGAAAGCGCAGCTTTCCCGTTTATTGTCTGGGGGTCTGGGGGCTGGACCCTTGTTCGCGTCGTGTTGGTCGGCTCGTCGCAGGGTCCAAAATTCAATCACAGCGGGGAAGCGAAGACGCGTGAGTCTGATGACTCGCGATGTGCTGTTTTCATCGGCCCTGTGCGCAAACCTAGCTTCTCAAGCTCAACGTGTCGTTTCGCTGCGTAGGCGCAGTGTTTC